ACACACACACACACACACACACACACACACACACACACACACACACACACACACACACACACACACACACACACACACACACACACACACACACACACGCGCGCGCGCGCGCGCGCGAGTATATATACCTATGATATGCAGATTAGACTGCATTACAATACAAATTATACAATATATAGAAAACGTGTCGCAGTGCTGAAGTTTCGGTGAGACATGTTTGTACTGGTTTTAGTGGATTCAATTAGATATAGCGATCCAAACCTGTTTACCAAACGATGAGTCAACCGCATTGCAAAGTGACGCAGGGTTATCAGGGTAGGAGAGGTGGGGTCGGCGAAAGCTTGATTTCATGCTGTTCATGAACAGTCAAATAAATAGGAGGACACAAAAATGTTTTTTTTTCTATGAGATCGACGAAATAAGTGCATGGCACAGAAGGCCTGTATAAAATGTGGCTCACATAATTGTTGTAGCAGGTTCTAGCAGGTAAGCTGGCTATGGGGACCTATGGGTGATGTGGACAATGCGGTTTTTTTGCGGGTGTGTTGTTAGAACCTGAGGTTAGAACAAGCGCTACTATATTCTAAGAATTTTACATTTTTTGGCTGACAGATGGCAGCACATCACATTTAGGCGCCATTTATGAAAACATTTATAAACAAGCTCCTGTTGATTTCTACATGATACATCATACATATTAGTATTATTACACCTATCAGTATCAGGAAAGACCAATTTTTTCTATCTGAAAAGGTCTGAAAGTCTGTTACCTCTCAATGTTTTTGCGGCATCGTATTATTATATTTTTTGTTATTAACGAATAGCGACTAACGTTACAACGTGTGAGATCTTTCTTTCCTTTACTTTAGTCTTTAGTTATAGCTACTTACTTAGGCTTATATATGGTCTATGTCCCCCAGGGTACTGCCGGAACGTACCCTGGTCACTATTTGATATGGTTAGGGTTAGGATTAGGGTTAGGGTTAGGGTTACCGTTAGGGTTAGGGAGTAGGCGTAGGCGACTCCCTAGACTCGGTAGTGGAGTAGGCGAGGTACGGTCCGGCATATTAGATAGTACCAGGGTACGTTCCGGCAGTACCCTGGGGGACATAGACCCTATCAGCCTTACTTAGTTACACTATTAGTAGTAGTACTAAGTTCTAATCTAGTAGTAATCTTCGGCTAGTGGCTTCTCGTTTTCCCAGTCTGAGGGAGGTGTTTTCAATCCCCATGCAGTGCTTGACAAATTTTTTTGGGGGCTACCAGAAATTTATTTCTTCTGCCTCTGGCCAAAAATGGTAAAATGAAAAGTGGTAGCCCAATTTTCCGGAAAAGACTAATCCCCGGGCACTCTGTGAGGGCGAGCCCACAATGTAGGGGTGGTCGGGTAGGGTATGGTTAGGGTTTAGGTTAGAGTTAGCTTACCCTACCCGACCCTACCCTACCCGACCACCCCTACATTGTGGGCTCACCCTCACAGAGTGCCCGGGGATTAGTCTTACCCCAATTTTCCATTGGTATTTCTACCACCATGATGTACAACGGTACATGACTTTAGGCCCTACAAACTTGTCACATTGGACACAAAGCCAGATTTGCATGCAGGGTTCGAATTTTGGCTGAAAATCTAGTGGACTGATCTTCAGAAAGTCGGTGGTCCTGCACAAAAGTTGGTGCAGGGTTCTCCCTACGTTGCACAGGCACTTGGAACGTCTCAATAAAAAAAATTAATGGTAAATAAACATGAAATGTACCAAAGAAGTCTTAATGTTTCTCTAGGCCTACTCTATTTCACCTGTGAATGCCGGTCAAATGCTCATATGCAACACACAAATAACACGCGTATGCCGCCCTGCGTGTGCAGCGTGCACTAAACAACATGAATAAGAGAGTTTATTCATATTTACTCTCTTATTCATGTTGTTTGTGGCACGCTGCACAGCGCCGGGCCGGCATACGGTGTATTTGTGTGTTTGCAGATGAGCATTTGAGCCGGCATTCAGCAGGTGAAATAGAGTAGCCTAGAGAAACATTAAGACTTCTTTGTAAGCATTTCATGTTTATTTAGCGCCCATTATTTTTTTTATTTGAGACTTCCAGTGCCTGTTGCCTACGTTGCGCAATACCGGGCGCGCATACCACCCCGTTTTGGGAAAACTCTCTCCGCACGTTTCAATCGTTTGCGCACGCCAATTAGATTCACGCACAATAAAAGTTTGACAGCGTTGGAATCGATCGTCAAGAATTCCCATTCGAGCCGCAGGCCGCCGGACGCGTGTATTTTGTACGGTACCACTAATGAGTAAACGTCGGCTACACTACGCATCACTGCAAGACGCACACACAATACAAACAGTCAACCCTGTCGCGGCAAACGCTTAGCAGCAAACTGTACCGACGTCGCTGTTTTATATCAAGTACGCCAAATACCGTCGTAATGTGTGGGTGGCGTATTTAGCGCATTACGGTAAAACACGCGCCGGCCCGGACCCCCCTAGTTTGCCTCCGACCTCTCCTTCCTCCCTCCCCTTCCCCCTCCCCCTCCCCCTGTTTCAATTTCATCCTGGGGAGAACCCTGTGGTGATCCGCTTATTTACTAGCAATGAGTAACAAAATGGTATATAAAAATAACCATTAGCATTAACAGCATACATGTAACATAGAGTTGGTCAAATAATATATTTCAAGCTCTAGGATCGAAAGTCGGGGGAGCTTCTGGGAAAGGTTTTACTTTCGTTTTTCTCCTCCCCAGTCCTGGGTGCGAAATTTTTTTTCCCACTGCAGTTCCGGACCCTAACCCTAACCCTAACCCTAATTAAATTTAATTAACACTAATAAATTTAATTAAATAAAAAATAATAATTTTAATTAAATTGTTGTAAATAAATCATGTAAATATTTGTGTTAATTGGAAAACAATAGTTAAATGGATAAAGATAGAAAAATACAGAAAACAGGAAAATAATTAAAAAACATACGGGATTCGAACAAACGACCGTTGACTCGTAACGCCGGTGCGCTACCTGCTCGGCTATACAGGGTTCTTGAAAATCACACATGACATATGCTAAATAAGAGCGAAGTCGAGTGAATGGAGTGCGCTGATTGGCTGTGGAAAGATTGGGGTCCGGAACTGCAGTGGGGAAAAAAAATTTGCGTCCTGGGTACCCCCATGCATAGATCAATGCTGCCGCACATCCGCGAAGTTACAAGTGCCTAGAATCTTGAAATATATACAGTTTACATTGCTTCTAGATATCTAACTGAATTAAAATAGTCCACTTTCTACGTAAAGAAAAGTGACGAATTCAATTGACAGCTTTGATTACGTGCGTGTCAGGTGTCACTGGTCGTGCCCTCACTCCCCACGTCGCCACGATAACCCCTGTGACATATGAACTTATTGTTATGCGGTCATAAAAACACTGGGCTACGCTACATGCTGCAAACGATTTCTTAGACTGTCACGAGGTTTTGTTCGTGTGACGAATCATGATTGCAGGATGTTTTGGATACCCCGTCTACGTTCAGGAACGGAGCGTATTAGAATGCACTCCCATTTACAAGTCTGTCTAAACTGCCGTTGCGATAACCGTAGTATTTCAGAGTAATATGAGGGGGAAAAGTGTGGGTCAGGAGGACCGGCAGTTTCGTAGAGGTGGTGGCCAAAGCAAAAACTTGGTGGCCTCCGGGTCGACACTAATTTTGAACGCTGTTTGCATGCCACATTTGCAAAAACGCATGGGCACATATGGAACCACGCTAACATGGCGACAGGTTTTAAATCAGCATTATCTCCCTTTACATAGGAAAGCCGTGTCCGCCGAGTGTTGCGATAAATCGAAATCTGAGCACTTGTTTTGCGCTGTGTTAACTCCGAACAGAAATTGTACTCGCCCAAAGATTTTATTTTGGGCCTGTAATATTTTGTTTTGGGTATTTTTTAATCGCCCAACAGAGGTTTTGGTGTGTCGAGCACTGCCATGAAACTAAAAGATCTAGACATAGCAGTCACATGTCATATTCATAGACTATAAGTATAATCATAAATCAGGACAGGAGTAACTTAGGCTGAGACTGAGAGGGTCTATGTCCCTCAGGGTACTGCCGGAACGTACCCTGGTACTATCTAATATGCCGGACTGTACCTCGCCTACTCCACTAACGAGTAGGGAGTCGCCTACGCCTACTCCCTAACCCTAACCCTAACCCTAACCCTAACCATATCAGATAGTTACCAGCGTACGTTCCGGTATACCGGACCGTACCCAGGGTACGTTCCGGCCGTATCCTGGGGGACATAGACCCTATGAGCGTAACTTAGTATTACTATCAGTAACAGAATAATCTGTTATTGTTTTACTCTTTACAATTTACAAAATTACATTGGGGCACCGAGTCTGGCATTCAACAAATTGAACAATAATTAACTCAGGGCTCATCAATTAACATCGTGTAGTGCAATGTCCTTACATATCGTACATGGGGCAGGTGAGCATGTTTATTCATCAATATAATTATCAATAGCATGCATTCTCGATTCTGTGCTATATATACTCTGGAAGTATTATATATTATTTGATTTTCAGTTGGCTATATCGACCAGCCAAGTGAAATAAATGGAAAAAATTGATAAAACAGTTTTGAGGTTGCACGAGGAAAAGAACTATGATGAACTTGAGAAGTTTCTGTCATCTCTTAGCCTCGACGATGTACGTATAGTTTGTGCAAGTCTTTTTAAGCCATTTTTGCCGTGAATATATTTAATATGTCACTAAATTACAGTAATAAAATGTTTGCCATGAAACGTAAAGCATTTTTGATCATAATATCTTCTGATAGTATGATTGCTATTATCTCCTCTCATAGATCAGTCTGCTCATAGATCGGCGAGTGCTTAGAGGCAATGGCGACCCTGCAGCGCTAATCAGGGCCTTGTTTTTAGGTATAAAAGAGTGCACATGGATGTTATCTTACACATCATCATGCATTGTAACATTTCAAAATATATTGGGACAGATATATGTAAATGGATGCACGTAGGTTACTAATACTATTTTGCAATGTCACTAGTCTCAATACACTTGGGTGTGTGTACACTCAGTGCGATGATTCACTGGTTATAACTGAATAGCATGACTCGTGATTCGCGTGCAGAAGCACGATTCCCACAGTATTTATCGATTCAATGGTAAAATGTTTATCTATATTCCCACCATCGAAATTTTATTAAAATATTCTTTTCAGCATCTCCAAGCAAGTTTGGTGAGGGTATTGCGAGACGGATTCACGTTTACAAACATGTGGTCGGACTACTGCGTCAGGATGCAATGTCAACTTCACTCGCCTCGGAGGTGATAGGAACACTGCTCCTGGAGGTGTTTTGTCTTTTGTGATCTTAGCTGTTTCAATAGGTGTCAGCACATGGCAGTGTATATATATATATATGCGTGAGGTTCTCGCATGGAATTTAGGAAGGGATGTCGGGCAATCTTTGGCATCAATTGTACATGTTATAATTGGCCCCAATACACAAGTAAGATCGGTTTGGAGAAGTATACATCAACTGTGAGAATATAGCATGACTGTGCAGGGATTGTCAAGTGTAAATGGCTGGAAGTTAAGGCATGTCAATTAGGCAATTAGGACTTGTCAGAAGATTTATGGGATGTCACAAATTAGCTGCAGCTTAGAAGGCATGTTGGGCCTGACATGCATTAAAAGCCTGGGAAAAACCGAGATGCACATTATGGCGCCTATGCCGGCTATTCAAAGTAGTTTATTGGAGAGTGCACCTCTGGGAAAAATAATTACCAGCATTAGCACGGCATATAGGTTAGTATGGGTTGAGTGGCTATACTTATAACTAGATGTGTAGTTGCACGTTGCAATTTGTGTCGAGTTTCAGAAATAATTCAGTATGGTCTGTTAGTTATTGATTTATTTACGAATACATTATTGGCATTTCTCACTTCAGACTGATGGATTTTCAGCAAACAGTCTGGCAGAATTGGCAGAGATGTTCCTTGAAATCATCAGGAACATTGGCAACATTGTGTCATCTGAAAAGTGCCAGTACGTGATATGCATGATAGACAAGACACTCTGATCATTACTACCCACGTTGTATATGTGTTTTAGTATTATTGATAATTATCTTAATTGTACACACCTGAGTATATGGGATATACTGGTGCAGTGGATGGGTAATCTCTGGTAATGAGCTAGTTATTACTGGTACCTTTATCTTACTGGTTATTGGTTAGATAGAAACAAAACTGACCACAAGTTATAAAATAGCGTTTGAATGTTGCACATTTTCATCTGCAAACCAGCGTCACACTCGCTGCTGAACTGTACTGCTCCTAAAAAGCAAAGCGTAAAACGCGGAAACCGAGATTCGATTGATGCGCCGATAATGTTTGTAACCTGCTAATGAAGAGAGAATCACCCAAGGAATCCCGCAAAAATCCATCCAAACTGCCGTGCATCTGCAGCGATGAAATCGCAATGGGGAAAGTGCGCGCTGCATCTTTCGAAGATGCGACTGTTATGTCTTGTCGGAAGAACAATAACTGATAAAGAGAATACGTTTAATACAACTTTATTAACTCACAAAAAAACACGGCATTACAGCTACCGAGGCTGGAGCTGTTTCAAAACGCCCCTGCGCGTACCACGCGCTGCTCACCACACAAAGGGAGTGCAACGAACACCGGCTACGTTGCTGCTGGACCTACATTCTAGAAGCCAAACTTTAGCACTAACTATAATTTAACAGCAATAGAAAATGAAGAGTGATTCATATATCAGCGACGTGTATTTCTCTCTCGCTTGTCACGTTGTAGGTGGCTGGAGTTGTTTCCTAAGCTTCTGTCGAGCATCAGTCGCCAGGATAAGGTCCTGTACAACAACAATGACATGCCGGGTGCCGAGTACAAGAGCCACGTGCTGAACCGCCTCTGTTCGGCCAGGTGGGATGCAGAGCTGGTCATTCAGCTGACCACAATGTTCAGGTAAGAGATGAGCAGCTGAGAAGTGGTCAACTGAGAGGTGGTCAGGTGAGAGATGATCTTGTAGGCTATTGTTAGAGCAGAGGTTGTGTAGTAAGCTATTGTTAGAGGAGAGGTTGTGTAGTAAGCTGTTATTAGGTAAGAATTTCTATAGTAAGCTATTGTCAGAGGAGTGATTATCTTTTATGCTATTATCAGCGATGTTTGCAATTTCAGGGACATAGACATGAGCAGTGAGGAGCTAAGGTTTGTCATTGAGAAGCTAGTGAGGATGTTTGGTGACCTAGAACTACAGAAGTTACCTGCTGTGGTCTATCAGCTGCTACTGCTCTCCACGAAGGTAGGCAGATATACTGCCAATCCAGTCAAATCAGTCTGTTATTTCCTTTCTACACGAGAATATAGTGCATAGTTTGTAATTTACTCTAACCCTTGTATCTTGTAGATCATACAACCTACAGCCATAAATAAGTATTTATAACTCATAGTATTTTAGTAAATCATGTACTACATTGCCTTTAAAAATCATTGGCTATCCTGCTTTAAATGTATTGTGTGTTCGTTGAATGTAAATAATTGGATTTCAGGGTCACAAGAGGTGTACCCTGGAGGGTATAATAAATTTCTTCAACGAGCAGGATAAAAAAGTTTCATCTCAACACAGAAGGTACTGCTGAGTTCATGTAGTAGTGCATATACAAGAATATACAAGAATGCTAATATGTACAGCGAGCATTTGTGCCTTTGAGATATGCATTTTTATTTGGAATAAATAAAACAATACCTTGGTATACTGAGTATACATTATAAGATATACTCATTGGGGTTTCCTTGCGCATTGCAGTGTATTGATGTGAAGTCACATTTATGCACTATCTATACATCGATGTAATTGTAACACAGATTAATTAAAGAAAATGTGAGCAGTTGTACAAACTATTTTTACTACAAGCAGTGAAGCAATAGAAGTGGAGGAGGAAGGAAATACAGTAGAGCAGTTGAGACAGGTGGAGGGCACTGTTTCCTTGTACATCATATTCACGATCAAGCAAGATCAGGAGCTAGGACGAGAATACATAAAATATTTGAAGGTATAATTACAATTAAGCTTGTTTCTCTAGCAGAATACATGCTACTTAAACTCCTGATCACTTTAGTAGTTATTTGCATTCCGTTTAAATGTAAGGAGATATATAAAGTGCACATGATATGCATGTAATTTTTTAAATGGAAATCTATGATCTATAATCGTAATATTACAGTAAAGCAAGATAAGATTATAGTAAATGCCTTCATTAATTGACAGCATACACTGCATTCATACTTGATTGTGTAGACAACATAACAAGATCTACTGAATTTGTGTAAAACAACTATTACATGATTGTTGTTGTTATTACAGGCTAATCAACAAAGTCCAAGTAGAATTCTATCACCCTTCAATGTTGCTCTAGCATTGTCTGTAGGGCAAATTCATCGCTTTGAAGATCAGGCACGTTTACGAAAAGCATTGGTCTTTCTATGCGTTTGACATCTTGAATGTAGTTGAGATTTTATGTCATAGAAATTCTGTAAATCAGATAAAATTAGAATAATTTAGATACTAGTCTGTAAAACAGGTGGCATGCAAGCAGCACTCTACAGAGAGCATTGTATAATATCCGTGTATGTATGTACATATATATATCAGCTTGTATTTCTTGGTAGCTGTTTGACTTCCTCAAGGGCTGTATCATCAAGAGCTACAAGGACTGCGAGAGATGCAGCGACAGCGAGTGGCTGCAGGGACTTGTCAGCCAGGACTGTGACGTCACACCCGGCATTGTGCAGGCCATCACAAATAGGTGTGCATCGCTGATCACTGCCAGAGCTGTTTCATCTTCACTCTCTATCGTCTTTAAGGACGTATAACAGAAAACAATTGGGGGTGTTGCAGTCTAGATATTACGAAAGAGGGTGTGGTAATTTTTTGGGAAAGCTATGCATGCAAATGCTAAATTATATAGAAGTCTTGGGGTAGTGTTGAAAGTGTAGAGCCATTGTCTGTGATACGATGTAGGAGGCAGGACCTGTCGCAGGCATCTGTGTTTTGTCATTATTACTGTCTCTTATAAACTTAACATCTTGAATTATCTTCAGTTCATATGGATGGGATCACGTGACACATGGCTTGGTGCACGTAGGATTTCTGCTCATGGACACATATGGCCCAAAGGCGGCATTTGGCAAAACTACTATCTCTCCTGGTACGATGTAGTTGTGCTAGTATTGCATACATCGACTCTTCAGGAGTTGGTTGAGTATTCATAGAATCAGGGGAGAATAATGACAAATGGAAAAATTTCCAAAATTTAAAAATTAAAAATTTCTGAATGACAAATGAATAATGACAAAATTTGTCATTATTTACCCCTGATAGAATGCATATCAGTACATTGATATCTGTTGTCATTCAGCATACTTCATCACCCCGGGAGGGAGAGCGTGCAAGCTGGGAGCAGTTGTCTTATTAGAGACTTTCAAGCTGCACAAGATCGTCCGTGAAGATATCCTAGAACAAATTCTTAACAGACTAGTTACCAAAGCAACAAGTCCAGCTCACCACTACCTTGGTGAGTATCTAGTCAGGATTTTGCATTTCCTATGTATTAGGAGCACACATAATGCCTATAGCTGTCCAACTACTTATGATTGTATTACTTTTATTCGTTACTAATCTGTAATATTACAATTAAAACAGTACCATATACCTTATTTTTAACATTCCAAGTTAGCATTCAGCCTCGCAAATCTTACATTTTCATCCATAAATGTTTTATTTCCACCCTTCAGGTTATTTCATCCATAAAATGTTATATTTGTCCCCGTGAATGGTTTATTGCCATTATGTATTATGTAGCACAAATAATACATTTGTGTCAATATATGAATTTTTTCATTCTTTAACATGCTTCATCGTCTGTGCGTGGCGTTATCTATATTGATGAACGCTTAAATGCACGTTGCAGACCTGCTGGCTGCCATCGTCCGCTGTGGACCGCAGCAGCTGCTTGAATGGTCGCAAAAGGTGCGAGAGGTATTCGACTACCTGTCTCTGTTGCCCGCGACAACGAGCTGCCGCTTCCTCACGGCGGTGCAGCCATTGATGAAGCTGAGCATGCCGCTGAAAGATGCGCTAATGATCGTGCTGAGGAAGGGCATGTTCTCCAGGTAATCAGGCATGTGAAGCAGATGGAGGCCCCGGCCCACGGCCAATGTAGGCAGGCATGCGAGGTGTGTGGAGGCCTGGCCTGGGGTCAGGGGGGCACAAATCCACTTCAGTACCCGTGTACGTTCAACGAGCTTGTTATTTCCTGCAACGCATTTGTAAAGGTAGCGGTAAACACATGTTAAAAGGAGGTCTGGACCAGCCATGTTCCATGTAGATTCGACTAGCTTATTAGTAGATGCTATGAACCTATGACACTGTATGAAGTTAATGCTGGACTGGTTTTCCAGGCTAGCCTGTGCATGGTATGAATAAGCATTGTGCAGTCACATCTGTTTGCTGCCATTTGACCAGGGCTCGAGCCTATGTTCCAACCTCCAACATACATACTCATCATCATACACCATCATCATTCTAACCCTACGTACAATAACCATAACCCTAATCGTAATTCTAACCTTGCCCTTACCCCTATGCATAACCCTAAGCCTAACCTAATCTTAACCTCCATAATGTAAGTATACATGGACCTAAATTAGGATTGACCTCCTGATCAGTTCTCATGTGTGTAGTGTTTTATATTGTGCTGATCTTTCCATTATCAGTCACCTGGAAGCAAGAAAGATGGCTGTAAATGGATATCTGCAAGTTCTGAAGAATTTCAAGGTACTTGGCACGATTCCAGGCAGTCAGCAAAGTCAGTCGTCCTCATCAGGGAGTTGGTTCAGCCAGGTGAGACATTCCTACCACACTTTCTCTTACCGCGTATTGCAAGCAGCTGTTGCCACAAATGGGAAGTACTTCTTATGAGAGGAACGATTCTGTATAGCTTATTTGTGAGATTATTTATTAGGTTGATTGATTAATAAGGTTTTTGAAAAAAAGGCTTCGAAACAGACATTAGAAAATTATTAGACGAGCAGTGCTATAGTGTGCAGGGCTAATGTTTCATATGTTGTATAGATACAAGCGGATGTCCACTCACGACCTAACCCAAAGGCAAACGAGGCTCTGTGTCTAGAAATAATCGCCAGTCTGAGAAAGTGCTTCAAACAGCAGGCAGAGATTCGAACACTCCTCTACGAGGTGAGAAGTTAATGAGAGGCAGGGTTCGATGGCCGTAATTAATGGACAGACTCTACAATGCTAACGAGCGTGTGGTGACTGGGCACCTATAGTATACCAATTCACTTGTTTAGTTCAGTTCAGTTTCGGTCAGTAAGTGGGTGGGTATGACTGCATGGGCTAATGGGTGGAAAATGTTTACATGCTAATACGTGTGCAGATGCTGTGCTGCTAGCTATGCCATGTCACTCAGTCAGTTCATGTTGGCCTGTTGCTCCTCGTGATGTAGGCCATCAACCATGTAAGTTGTGACAATTGTCGTCTCTTACAGGGTATCCCGGTCGTTGTGAGCAGCAATGCTGAACTGTGCGGGCCAGCGCTAGAACTGCTACTCACACATCTACGTGCTTACTACGTGAGCGGGGACGATGTACTGCCACCCGTCAGTCTGGAACTCTGCGTTGCAACGCAGGGAGATGTCGTCACCTGCAATGAACCCCTGGTCAGTCGAACAAGTAGTCGTTGTCATCATTATCCTTATAAACATGCTTCATTAAAGTTTTCACCATCATTATCGTCGTCGTCATTGTTATCGTCATCACCATTACCTCACTGCTATTGTTACACACCATAGCAAGAGTATTCATAAATGTCACAATCATCGCCGTTGGCGTCTTCTTCATTATCATTGGTTGTCATCTGCATCAATAGCATACCATTGGCATCATCACTATCTGATTATCATGATTAGCTGTGGCAGCAGTGCAGTCAACTGGCCTAACCCCCATGCAGCATATGCTCGCTGTTGCAGAAGCAATGGTGACCATTGCCATCATCGTCATAGCCACAACTGTCATCACCATCACCATCACCATCCCTGTTACCATCACCATGCAACACTATCGCCATGCCCATCACCATCTCCAATACCTTTACCATTGGCCAACACACAGCCATGCATGGGAATAGGATGCATAATTGCTCCTATACTGCAATAATGACTAGATGAAAAAAATTTGATTAAAAAAAAGACATTGATACCAAACGTGTGTGTAACCGACGGAGCATTTTCGACAGGGTCACTTGCTCGCAAGCATCGTACAAATCCTAGAAAAGGTTGCAGAGAAAACCTCCAGCGGGGGAGAAGACGATGAAGGTGAACAGACGGACCTGGAAGCGCTGCAGCTAGACTGTGAGGCAGTGCTGAAGTCTCTATCCAGCAGAATGGTCAACGCAGAACTGGAGGACTTTGAGCTGGTAAAGTTTCAATGATCGCAGTTGACAAATCCTGGCGTGACACTTTATTCTCATCTTGGCTAATGTGGCCCAATAGTTTCCTTTGAACATGCTCCTTTCAGTGGTGAATACTATTTGCCTATCAAATCATAGTAAAATATAAGAGGTTATGGTATTTTGGAAAGTTATGCAATAGATCGAATATACACACAAATGTATTCATGCATATAGATGCAATAACTAACCATGGCCTTTTGATTAGGATGCTAATTAATTTGTTTTATCTTTACATAATAACAGGACAAGTCTGCTGACTTTAGTACAAACAACACTGTAGGCCTAAAGAACCACATATTCGCAAGTCTGGTGCTGGGAATTTACGAAGTGTCAATGGAATTCACATTTGTAAGAGGAAAGTACAGGTAGGTTGTTAGATACATACTAGACTAATACTGCATATTGTGTACAAACTGTGATAGTGAGCAAACATTTGAAACACTTGCATCCTTGCCAAAGTACTGCATCCCAGAAAACATGCTGTGCATCATAAGCAAATACTACTTGCAGCTTCAACGATTCTTTTATACAGACGTCAAGTGTGCAGTGTTAAAATACATTATTTGTCATTGTGTCTAAAAACAAATTATTTAGTCACTGGCCTGTGCAGTTGCTCCCCGGTTGACGCCTGTGCCCCGTGTGTTGCAGCCGTGAGTCGTGCGAGATGGTGCTGCAGCTGTACGAATGCTACAGCCGACTGGCAGAGGTGCTGCGGGAGAAAGGCACCGCAGGAAGGAAGGGCGGCGACGCAGAGAAGAAGGGCCGACCAGCCGCTGCGGTGAAGCCACTTGCCACACCCACCAGCCTGCTAACTCTGCGATGCGTTGCCACGATGCTGAATGGTCTATTCTGGTCTGCTCACTATTTATTTCGTTTATTATTATTTTGCTAATTTATGTCCTTACAGCGTTAGGCATTAGTTAGTTAGTTAACAAGTTACATCAGGGTATGTTTATAGAAATTGTGCTGTGAAAGCACTGATAACATTGTTAATGTCACAGTGATATAATTATTTAGGCTGGATTGGATTTGCTATTTATGTCGAAATACTTTTATTATTACGTTATCATCATCTTTTGCTCCTCATGTGTGGTTCACGATGTTAATATCCTATTATCCTCTCTGAGTGTGTTGTTTGTATTTGCTTACTATGCTATTGTCTCTCTGTTGTTAATGTGTTCTCAATTTCACGTTACACCCACAGCGATGTCAACCCAGCTAGAGCTGCAGGCCTGGCAGTATTGCGGGGTAATGCTGACTTTGTGCGACACCTGGTCAGTGTATCACTGCAGAAGGGGCAGCATCTAAGCACCACTCTGCAAGTGAACACGAAACCATCGAAGGAAGATAACACATTCCAATCCTGCTGCAAGATTGCCAAGTTAGTGAACCCTGCTCGGCTTATTCTAATCCGTTTGTTTAAAAAAATTGTTTACAAAAAATGTGAAAAATTGTACTTACACGTTTTCGTTACACACGTGTGCCCAATTTCATCCCGAAACCATACCCTGATTTCAACCGAAATAATGCGTTATCTACATCCGCATTTCGGTAAAACAAGCGTTGCAATCGGGTGCACGTTTCAGGTCGCTGCTGACGCATTACACGGACAGTGGTGGCACAGCCAGCCAGCGACCACGGCAGCCGGAGAGCGAGAGGCAGAGACGAGCCGTGCTGCTCATGTGCGTGGAGGGGTGCTCTGCCATGATAACTCTCATCACGACCTTCTATAAAGACAGAGTGACAGAATTCCTGAACCACATCGGTACGCGTCGGTGTCGCCCGCCGTCAGCACTATTCTCAAAAACGAGATAAATGCGTTGATGATTGTAATGCAACCGGGCAGCGATTGCTTTGTAATCTCACTGCACTTTGGTTGATGTAATCGATTAACAATAGTTATGGCAGTCGATTTTCCCTCAGGTCTGTCATGGTTAGTTTGTGTGTTTTTTTTTAGCCGGCGACAGTTCGGCAGGAGACGTTAGTAAAGACGTCCATGTCTATGCACAAATTAAGCGCTTCCAGAGACTCATGGCAGCTGTACTTGCAACGGACGAAGACAGTAACAGGTGCGTGTTTCACCCGAGGTCACCTTGTTTCAACAGACATAGATGTTATATATGATCTTAACATGATTAACATAAAATCTTAACATGAAGTTTAAAATCTTCCAACTTTTAATTGCTTTACTTTTTACTAACGTATACTTCTTTTAAGAAAGGTAAGTAGTCACTGGCTTGATGTTTTTCAGAATGAAGGAAGTGGTGTATATTGTGAATGTGATTTCGCAACTCGCTACAGAACTGGAAGCTACTGAACAGCATTATGTACAGGTACAGTATGTTTCTCATCGCTACATATTCTCATTTCACATTTTTAAGTTGTGCTCACAGTTTTAATTATTGAAGAATATACAGTAAAAGTTAGTTTCTGTTTTGTCGTGAACATGGACTGACTCACTTCACAATGTCTCAATGCTCATCTCGTGCATGATCTAACATGTTTTTTATGTACCACTGATCACTGCAATTAATTTTAATTAAATTTAATCGTTTTTATATATTTCATAAATTTGTATATTTATGTGTTATTAATTTTACCACTGATGGTGTAGTAAACACCAGTAAACACCTGCATTTAGCATTGTTTCATCATGTGCTTTCCACTGACTGGCAGGCATGTCAGGGAAGCTGCTGGCGCGTGACGTAATCAGGTATAATTCATTTCTCATTTGGCTTTAGCTTCACAAGTGGGTGCAGCAGGTCTGTCAGGAACGCCAGCTGGAAGACCTAGCAGTCCTCAAGCCTCTACTCGCCTTGCTGTTCCGCATGACCGGTCGACTGACCAGCGGTGTGGTTCTTGCTCTAGAGCTGGCACAAGACATACATGTGCAGCTGAAGGATATTGACCAGGCAGGTTTTATCACGATAAACGAATCTGTATTGGTTCGAATCAAATGTTCTGACGAAACATCAATGAAGAACTTCCTTGTATCTAACCTCAGAGCATCGATTGTTTAGGTACATAATAAAAAACGTCTGAAGTTGGTGTTGATGCTGAATGGAAATCTTACCATTGTCACATATTATATTGCAATGGCAGAAACCTGAAGTAGAGAGATGACTGAAATCTCCAAGTTGCACGTTAAAGTTTCGCTCACCTCTTCAGACTTAACGAACCTCTCCACTCCTGACCGTTACGTCCCAGCCCCCTCCGGAACTGTGCGTCTCCTCCCACCTCCTGCACTGTACGTTCCCTCCTCCCTACCGCACTATACATACCCTCCTGTACTGTACGTCTCCTCCCCCTTCCACACTTTATGTACCCTCCCTCCTGCCCTGTACATCCCCTCCCGCACTATTTCCCTTCTTCCTCCAGCTGACTTGCGTTCTTCTTTGTTGTTTGTAGGCGATCGACGTGAGAGACGGATCTCATTTTGCGTTCGTCACGCCGCGCACGGCGGCGACGGTGCTAGCCGCGCTGCTGCTGCGCGTCGACAGGATGCTGGAGGATGCGGAGTGGGTGGTCACTGTTGCCCGCGGCAACGTTGCGCCGTCGGCCGGCGCTCGTGACGCAGGTACGAGAACGAGGAATGTGACCGTAGGTGTCGCGTTTATCACGTTACTATATATGTATATCTATATATATATATATATATATACATATATATACACTGACGATACTCCCGAAATGCGCTTTGTATAATTCGCACGTGACTTGTAGGCGTCGCTGCTTCGGCCGCACCCGGATTCAAATAACGTGCCTTCTACGTCTCTTCTTACTTCTTCCTTCGTCTAACTACGTCTCTCTATCTCTCTCTCTCGGCAGACGTGGACGCAGCGGGCGCGACGCAGCGTGAGGGACGCGAGAAGCACGTCAGTCTGCAACTGGGCAACCTCGTTAACTGCCTGTGCGAGCTGGTGCAGGCGGCCGTGCCGGGCAGCGCCGGCCAGGACGCGCTCATACGCACCGTCGCCCGCATGTACGCGGCGCTCACCAACTTCACGAAATACGGACGGTCGCTGCAAACGCACAATTAATGCACGGATGAGTATGCTAGGGATAGGGGAAGGGGCGGTGGTGTATTCCCTTGTACGGGGAGCTGATGATTGGTAAGTGTAGTGAGAAATTAGTTGGCACGTTGCGCAGATGATGACTTGATCAGTGATTTGACGCAGTGATTGACGTCTGTGTTAAGAATTTCTTAATTACTTAGCTCCTCAGACAACATCATAAGATATTTACTCTAGAGGGTACTGCATCCTGATAGATGGAGGAAAGCCGCTAGCTATGCAGATGACATTGATCGATCAATATCTATGTTATAGTATAAGTCTATCTTTCTATCTATCTATCTATCTGTCTGTCTATATATATATTATCAGGAGTGTATCAATACATACCTGATACATATTGATACACTCCTGATATTATATATATATATATGAATTTGATTGTTTATTAATGTGTAACAGTTTCTTCAATACTGTGGCTACTAGGACTTAGTTCAGAAAACTTGTGCTTACATACATGTTAACATGAATAACACTAGTGCTAATTTTCATTGCAGTATATCATGCTGTACAAGCAGCACGCTGGACATTTGTGTCCACGCTACGAGAAGCTTGTTCGACTGTCAGGCACAAATCTCACCAAAAACGTCTACCCAATGATTAACTACATACAGGTGATGAGTTGCAGAAATATGTCTTATGGGTATAAAGGCAATACAATTCTGGGCAAAATTCCACCGTCTACTGGTGTCGTTGCTTGCTATCTGCCTCTGTGAGGTCTACCAACCCATGCACCAACAGGAATGAATGTGGATTGCAGTTCCTGTTACGTCCACGTTTAATGTTTCATCATGTACATTCGAACGGATGGTCCTTTTCGTTTATTTTATTTAACGTACTTCAGACGGTCCGGTTGGAAAGCATTCAGCAGAAGGCAGCTAAACCCGAAAAGGCTGGAAAGAAGAAGGGTGGAGTTGGAGAGGCAGGTGGCGCTGCTAAATCGGTTGTTCTCAAGGAGAGCCACACGATACCCAACCTGATATACGCAATAGAGCAATACGAACGATACCTGATCCAGTTGTCTAAGAAGTCGAAGGTAATTGGTATCATGTGAATTCGGTTTCTGTATGTGATTACTCTGAATGCAGTGCACACACACATATGTAAAGGCTTCTGCTTGAGGCTTAATTGAATAATTTGTTGTTCGATTTATTTAATCTCGTCAATGGTTAACTTTTAACCAAATGTATTAAAGGAGAGGTGTGCGAGTTGGCACTTACAACCTGGCATGCTGCACCAACTACTGGTTTATTATGGGTCCCTAGTTAGTTTTACCCAGGAAAAAGACTAGAAATGAGAGACAGCACCACCTGTTATAATTGTGCGCTTCTGATTATTGGAAATCCTCCAATTTAGATTGAATTAAGTCGAAGGTTAATGAACCTCGTTAAGAGAGTTGAGTTTTCTCAGTGAAACGATTTCCGACATGCCTTCTTTAACCCCCATTGGCCCGTTTAACATCTGATTTATGGATTTATATACTTCTTACAGGTTAATCTGATGGAGCACATGAAGGCTAGCACAGCAAGAGACTTCAGGATTGATGCAAGCGCTGTGCAAGCTGCCCTGGAGGATCAATCTGACGATGATGATGAAAATGATGATGATAATGATGACGACGCCAACAATGTTAATGTGCGTATTACAATCCTCGTCGCTGTCAGATTTCAAAAAGTTGCAACCACATTTCAAGCTATGCTTTGACCAATGACTGAAATATATATGCAATGAATTACATGATGTATGCATCAAAATATGAACACATAAAATTGCTTGTGTAAAAATCGGTGTCTAAATACTTATTTGTGCCTAACCTTACAATGGTTTCTAAATATGCATGTGTAAGCATGCCTATGAAATAATATGGTTATTGTAATCTCATTTTCGTCACCCTACCGTAGCAGTTTTGAATATTTATAGTGACCTTTGATTATTTATAAAATTTGGGGAAAACTCTGTTTCAATTACAACCAATCTGTAAGACGAATCAGAACTGGGTGAATAATGAGATACATGTGTGCTGACTTTAGGTGGCGGTGGAGCAGCAGGATGTAATGGAAGGGGAGGAACAGGTACAGGAGCCGCCAGCTAAGAGACCATGCCCAGAAAAGTCACAGCCTGAACCTCCAAGCAAGAAAGCAAGTAAACTGAGCAAACGAAAGAAGTAAGAAGTTTCGGGAAAGAGTTTGTTGTGCTGTTTGTCGAAACTTCTAAAGTGATTTACACTTGTGCTTATATCAGATACTAGTAGTATGGGATATATATTCTCCACAAGGCGTATAGAACTTATTTGACACCATTGTAAGAATGGTAGAGTTCTACAGTGTATATTGTACATATATATGACACTTACTTATTACATAAAATATAGTGATTTTTACCAAATAATATACAGGCTTTATTTAAATTAATCTTCTTCATATTAAAGTATTTAAATAATTTACATCGTCATATTTACAGTTTTCATCCTATTTACACATCTAATTACACTTTCACAATTTTAGACTTGCAAATACAGATTACTTGATATATTTGCTATCTATGACTTCTAGTATTAATGCACGGGGGTATTAATACTGTACAGTATTAATACACTGTCATTGCTACTAATTTATCAGAAATTGATGACAAATTCTCATAACGGTTTGCTGCCACACTGATATCTCATTTTTTGCAACAGCAAAACGGCTGCAATAGTAAGTGGTTTTTTTTAAATTCAAGTAAGAGCCAATAGATTGACGTCATGGAAATTTAAAGTTAACTACACAAGTGCGTGGGCGTATGTCAAAAGACAGATTTGAAAAACGAGGACTCAATAGTACGGGTGCCAGTTGCTATCATCCGCTGGTAGAAGGCCTCCTGTTATTAACAATACAATGTCAACTATCCACCAAATTCCAAGTCCTCCTAGAAAACAAGAACCATACATACGTCACGTGAGAGCAGTTATCCACACTGACATGAAGCTCGTAAAATGTTACGTTTACTACATCGATTGCTGCCCTCTGAAATAACGACTGTGTAGAGACAACCTCAATATGCACATTAAATTATACTAATTTCCAAGAACTTTGGTCAAAATGGTTGCAGGGTACTTAAACCGTATCAAGACAACAACAACACGCTGTAGGTATAACGTTGAGCACCAACGCATACAAACCTAATGTCAGAAGTTTCCCTACTGCAGTTCCAGTGTGGCCAAGACAGAATCTGTCCATGCCAAGAAAACCCAGCAAGATCGAATAAATGAGCGTCGTTGCGAAATAGTAGCCATTGTATCTATAAGAGAACAGCAGAAGAGGCAAAAACAATTAATGCCATGCATTATCAATACAGTCACTCAATCTATCCCTTTCACCCCAGATTGGCACTGAAATACAGTGTTGTGAATAATTATATTACAACAAACATGTACACTGCCAACTTAAAGCGAGGATTTCACGTTTTTACCAACCGTTTTCATATTTTCTCAACCATTCTGATACTTGCTGGTACTCCTTGCATAACACCAAATGTATATAGCAAGGCTAAAATGTCATAGTAAAATTTAGAAACACTCGGACAACATTCTTTCCACCAGTATCTGCACCGATCTGCATTTCAAATTAGATTGTTTACATATGTCAACAAACTAGCACATGATTTTGCTCTCGCGAGACCAGAACGCTGTCTCTACACTAGGTTAAGCCTAGCGCAGACTTGCGACTTTTTCATGCAACTCGACTGCGATTCTAGAATCGCAGCCGAGTTGCATGAAAAAGTCGCAAGTTTGCGCGAACGTGCAACTGCAACTCGTAGCGATTCTGGTCGCTTGCAACGAGTTGCAAGAAATCAAACAGGTTTGATTTTCAGCAACTAGTCGCTCGCAATCGCTTCGAAATTGCATGTGTGCGGGTAATATAAGTCATGGAAAGACAATGGAAAGACAAAAAGACAATGAAAAGAAGCGACTGCTGTTAACAGCAGTCGCTTGCATGCGCACACACGGTGAAGCGTGTGACCGATCGCACGCGGTTGCAGGTGGCAGCGGCGAGCAACCAAAAGTCGCAAGTCTGCGCTACTACCTCTGTATACATTTCGAGATAGGTAACAGTCCATAATATTTTGTGTCATGTAACTATGTCAGTATGTACATTTGTTTTGTGGGACTGTTTGAACATTCCATTATCACAAATCTTAAGATAGCGGGTGCACATTTGCTGTTCATATGCCGTTATAGCCTATAACAGCACAAATTTGTGGTGATTGTTGTGCTGGAGTAACCAGTAAAAAGCTCGCTAATAGGTGAGACCTAATTTGTCTACACTTATGCAGTTTTCCGATTTATTTGTGAGATAGTCGGTTTAAAGATAGCTAATAGCAGATATTTTAACTTACTTTATGCACGGTATACCTTCTCTCATGAAGGTTCGGTTCCCATAGCACTCAATTCCCGGTAATGCTGTACAATTCACTGCCGTAGTTTGCATGTCCTCATACTTCTCTCCGCCCCACTGAGAAAGTACATGTATTGTATAAAAGTTATGGTCTGACGGTACAATGTTCCAATATTATACATATGAAAAAGTTGTAGTGTCTGTTCAGTAATAATTTTTCCAACAATCAATGATCCTATAATTCGGTCATGTATGTAAGCCAGCAAGGTTATCTTAATTAAACTTGATTGCCCCTGCAATGCACGCCTACCTTTGTACATCCAAATCCTAGCTCTTCCCTTGCAGTTTCATTCCCATCTAAATCCAATGGATCTTGACAATCCATGAACTGTTCTGGTCTGAAAATATATATATTACCCACGCACTGACACTGTTATTAAACTTAACAATGTGAGAATATAATACAGGATACTTTCGGACATAAATCGCCGCCAGGTCATTATGCAATTTATTACTCAAGCAAGTAAGAGATCAGAGCCCTAAAGGTTATAATCTATACAATCACTCAAGCAAGCAAGTTATCGGCAACTACAGCAACTAGTAAACTAAGCGCGCAATCAGAACTCCATAGTTTCCTTGGTCACTTTCCCAACACATTGAATGAGTTTGTTGGAACTTGTCTTGGAAAAATGTCTAGTTGCCTGGTCATGTGGCGATGACATCAATGACAATGTGTCTACAAGTTACAATCGTACAGCAGGCAGCCGGAAGATATCGGTTGGCAGACCAATGTAGCTGTGCCTACCCACCATGCAAGTCTTTGCTTTATCAACTTGCACACTATCACTATCAGTATCAGTATCACTATCAGTATCGCTCATAGGGTCTATGTCCCCCAGGGTACTGCCGGAACGTACCCTGGTAACTATCTGATATGGTTAGGGTTAGGGTTAGGGTGAGGGAGTAGGCGACTCCCTAGACTCGTTAGTGGAGTGGCGAGGTACAGTCCGGCATAGCATAGATAGTACCAACAGAGCATATAAATCACGTTGATTTATATGCTTAGGTACCAGGGTACGTTCCGGCAGTACCCTGGGGGACATAGACCCTCTCAGCATCAGTATCAGTACTTTACTTAGTTAGTGTCAGCAGAAATGAACATAGAGCCTCTAGAACTATAGCCCTCCGCTCCGCCGCAGGGCTATAGAACATACTATGGCAATTTCCAGGGAGTAAGCAAAGACAACTTTTTTGCAGTTAATAACTTCTTCGGTATGCCAAATAAAGCACATTCTCTGCCGCACAAATGTCTTAAGTTACTACAAACACTAAAATTAAAGGCAGTGGCTACGGGTACGGTAGCCGTATCTTAATGTCTCGAGGCTACGGGTACGGGAGTCTATTCGCTTTCATACTTAACGAGACAAAGATGGCGGCGGTGGCACCAGATTTCGAAATAACGCCTTTGGAAATAAATTCACAATTTGAGTTTAGATGAGCTAGAACCCTAACCCTAACCATAACCCTAAACCTAACCCTAATCCGAACCCTAACCCTAATGCCAAAAAGGGGCTTCAGCGACCGACGGCTACCGTACCCGTAGCCACTGCGAAAATTAAACCGCAAACTAACGCTTAAATGTTGTACTTGCTATATTACTCGTCGACGAAGATTGTTTACCAACTTGTAACCGCCATTTTTCGCTAGCGAGCGGGCACTATGTATTTCCAAGTGGAAGGGTGGGCAGGTTGCACGCGGGTGCAAACCGCAATTTTTCGTTGCGCAGCGCTAGCGCGGTTGCGCGGTTTGCAACCGCGTGTAACCTGCCCACCCCTCCACTTGGAAATGCATTTTGCCCGCTCACTAGCGAAAAATGGCGGTGTAAGGTGTCTACCGGCAACTATACGAGTCGAAGCCATTCTACTGGATTCGACTACAGGCTTCGACCCAGAATCCACGGCAAGCCAGGCAAGGCCACGGCTGCCGTCATATATAAGGACCACCTGGGATCAACGGATTCGTGCTTCATTCTACCAGACGACCAGGACACCGACCGACGTAAGGATCAAACCCTTACAGCGGTTACAAGCTGGTAAACAATCTTCGTCGACGAGTAATATAGCAAGTACAACATTTAAGCGTTAGTTTGCGGTTTAATTTTAGTGTTTGTAGGTAACTCAAGACATTTGTGCGGCAGAGAATGTGCTTTATTTGCCATTTGGCATACCGAAGTTTTTAACCGCAAAAAAAGTTGTCTTTGCTTACTCCCTGGAAATTGCCATAGCAATTAATATGTTCTATAGCCCTGCGGCGGAGCGGAGGGCTATACTAGTAACTACTATAGTTCTAGAGCTAAAAGTAAAATGAACATGTCATAGCGTACTATCTAGAACTAGTACTAGTACTAGTACTAGTACTAGTACTAGTAGTAGTAGCCACTCACAGCATACAACAAAGGACCAATGGGGATGTCGGGTCGTATGTGCTACCGTCAGCTTCTGCTTCTTTAAAACATTCATCCGCCAAGAATGAAGCAATTACAGCGTTTTGATGCGTAAACAGATAAATTAAAAACAATAACAAGCTCCGACACAAAAGCTCCATAATTCTCGGACCGCGGAGGTAACGTAGCGCCATCCTGTGGCGTCAAAACACATTAAAGTGATCATGACTATGTCGTTACACACATTTATTTGTTTCCTGGCAATACTTACTAATAGCGCAAAAAAGAGATAGCCGGGCTATATATCACAATCTACACATATACCTCTTGATCTATTTGCGTTAATCAGTGGTAATCATGTGATCATGTAGTTATGATAGAATATGATATAATACATCATATATTATGTATATATCATATCAAGAGCTAATAATACCTTATTAGCTCTTGAGGTATTATTAGCTCTTGATCATATGTTATACATGATAATATAATACATGACATAATATATAGGATGTATACATCATATCAGGAGTCGATAATAGAAATATATGGATAATAATGTCATAATTCTCTATTATCCACTCCTGATCATATGTTATGTATATACATTACATAACATGCTCAATTTTGTATATTTGGTGACGGTTAATTTGATAAATATAAGTTTGTGTAACCTATATAGTGACAAATCCACATTTTGTTCTCTGTATTATCTGTATCTGTATGTTTTGTTAAATTTAGCTAGCTGTTATAATACAACCACATTTACTATTAGACGGCTGTCAGGCGTCAGGTTTTTAATAATACAGACGTGTTCTTGCTGACTAAATTTAGACGCCTATAACACGTCTAAATGTGGTCACGGGCGTCTAGACCAAAATAAGACATCGAAAAGACGCTCAGATATGACGTCTTGTGCTCGCCTGCCGGCCCGCGGAATGCACAACATATAATTATTTCCGTTTACATTTTTGTAATTTTGTTTTATTATAGCGCGCGCGCTTCATAAGGCGCTTCATTTTCGACTAGTTTCACTTCATAATGAAGCAACGCATTCGGGAAGATGTTTATATAAGGTGATATGTTTTTCTTATTGAGTGTGTGTGTGTGTGTGTGTGTGTGTGTGTGTGTGTTTGTGCGCGCACGGGGGCATGCGTGTGGGTGTGCGTGCGTGCATCGTGCGTGCGTGCGTGCGTGCGTGTGTGTGTGTGTGTTTCTACGATGCCACTGATTGGTCGGCTACTACGAGGCCCCTGATTGGCCATCTGCTACGAGGCTCCTGATTGGTGGGTTGCTGCGAAGCTCCTGATTGGTTGGCTGCTACGAGGCCCCTAATTGGTCGGCTGCTGCGAGGCCCCTGATTGGTCGGCTGCTACGAGGCCCCTGATTGGTCGGTTGATAGGAGGCCCGTGATTGGTCAGCTGCAACGAGGCCTTTGCTTGGCCGATTGCTAGGAAGCCCCTGATTGGTCGGCTGCTACGAGGCCCCTGATTGGTCGGCTGCTACGAGGCCCCTGATTGGTCGGCTGCTACG